CATTTTACTTTTTCTATTACATGATTAATTCGCAACCCATTTTTCCAATTTCATCATTCACAACTTTGCTTAGTGCACTTGCAAAGAAGAAGCATTATTATGAAGTGATTTCGCTTTATCAGTGGTTGAATTCAATTGGGTTGTCTCCAATTTAATGTCTTTGACCGTTTGATCGATTGCTGTGTAAAATTGAAAGTTTTCTGATGGTTTTGCGTTTTTGGGGAGATTTTGAGGACGGGCTTCAGCCCAGATGCTCCGACTTTTAATTGTTTGATCAAAGGTCTGTGTGTAGAGAGAAATTGCGGAGTCGATGGAATTATTCAAAATGGTTGTTGTAGCCTAATGTGACTACTTTATGGGACTTTGATTGGTGGATGTGTAAGTGTTGCCATTAAATTCGAAGAGATGGTTAATGGGAATAAAAAATCTGGTGTTATTTGTAGGCCAAATGTTTTTACTTATAATACTATAATTGATGGTCTTTGTAAGGCTAGATAAGGGAGAAGGCTAAAGAATGTTTTTTGGAAGAAGGGTTCTGGAGTCGTCCAGACACACACTTATACCACTCTAATTCATGGTTTTTGTTCTGTGGGTGATTGGAAAGTTACAAGTTTTTTATTGAAATGATGGATCAAGATGTGCGCCTTCTGTGGTGACGTTTAATGTGCTCATGGATGAACGTTGCTAGAAAAGAAATTGGACGAAGCATAAGGTTGTTGGAACTTATAATTCAGAAGGCTGGATCCCACTGTTTATACTTACAACATTTTTATGAATGGATTGTGTAAAACAGGGGAATAGTCCTGCCATTAAGTTGCTTGAAAAAGGGCTAGGGAAATGAGAAATCTGGTGTTATTTGTAGGCCAAATGTTGTTACTTATAGTACTATAATTGATGGTCTTTGTAAGGCTGGATTAGTTAAAAGGCGATAGACTTGTATTTCTAAATGAAGAGTTCGGGAATTAGTCCAGATGTTGTAATATATACCATCTTGATTAATATGCTTTGTAAAAATGGACAACTAGAAAAGGCAATAGTTGTTGTCACATATGGAGGAAAGTTGTTGCTCCAAATGTACTCACATTTAATACCCTATGTTTGGTTTCCTCAGAATAATGAGACACAAAATGTTGTTGACTCCTTCATAAGATGGCGGAGAGAAATGTGAAGCCCTAAATGTACAATGTCCTTAGTCATGCAGTTTCTAATGAAGCCAAAATTATCAGTGAAGTTGAACCAGCTTCCTCAATTTCCGGTCCAAAAGCAAAATTGAAGTTTTCTTGCTAAAAATTATTGAGTATTAAACTTTTTTAGAGTAGGATCCTGCAAAAGTTCATCCAGCAGCCCAAATGCTCAATTTTGGTTACTCTAAGAAGAAAGTTCAGTAACACTTTCATTTGTTTGAATTTGATAGGGAGGATGGGGATGATTGAGAATGATGGCTTCCCTATCATCCATACATTACTGATCAGTCTTTGTTGTAAGTGCACATAGTGGAGGTGGCAGCGTTGCTGTCTGTGTTAGCATTTGCACATGAAATTGGTCTAAGAGTTTGAGGATTATTTCTGGTGCAAATTTAAGTAAGCAAAGTTGTATATGAGAAATTGTAATGGTTCTTCTTCTACTAGGACAATAATGGTCCAAAGGATGATAAATTTCTTTATAAAATGTGAGTTGATTTATTGTGGAGGCTACTTCCCCAGATGGATTGGTGCTTCTGAAATCCCTAATCCCCAGTATAGAGTTGATTATTGCAAACAATGTGGGCATCTCCCTCTCTCGGCACTTACCGTTCTTGAATGTTATCTACATGTGTGGCATGTTGGCAGTGAAGAACATGGGAGCCAATTCTATGGTAGAGGCTCAAGAAGACCATTCCAGTCACTTCAAGAACTCACCTTCATAATTTTCCCAATGGAATTTTGGTGAGCATGAACGCAAAAGAGAATTCCCTTCGCTGTCAAGCTAACTATCAAGAAATGTCCTAGGTTGAAAAACATGCTGTGGTTTTCATCTCTTCAGCATCTAGAGCTAAGGCATTGTATGAAATGACCTGAGTCAACTGCAAACCTTTCCACACTCTTAAATCTTGTAATTGATGTCTTCAACGGGCTGTTGGTTTTCTTGGAAAGCTTGCTTGAAAACAATCCTTGTCTCAGGTATTTAACATTTAATCCTCTCTAAATCTTCGCTTGATATCCTCAAAGTTAGGAGCTTGACTGCTCTAATCGTTAACAATCCTTGGTGTCAAGACTAATCTCTCTGCCACAAGAAATTCAAAACCTCCCTATTGGAATCTTTGGAGATCAGTAGTGCATCCCTTATAACTTTGCTAGAAGGTTTTCGAGGTTTGAGTTCGCTGCTCGATCACATTCCATCGAGAACGGCAGTACTAGCATCTGTACTGAAAGAGCTCCAACACTGACAGCCTTGAGCATTTAACGATAGTATTGCCCGTTTGGCTTCTCTGCCAGCCAACTTCAGAAACTTCTCCTTGCTAGAGTTGTACATTTTGAGCGTCCCGAGCTGGCATCTCTCGCTGAGGAGCTACAACATGTCACTCCCTGCAAGCTTGGAAATCCATAGCTGCCCTGCTTTCAAAAATTTACCTGGATGGATTGAAACCTTTCTGGTCTTACTTCTTTAGCATTATCAATTTGTCAGGCCATAGTTTCACTCCCAGAAGCCTGCACCATCTAACTAGCCTCCAACATCTTTCCATCAGGGAATGTCCAAGGCTTGAACATCACTGCAAGAAAATCTCGGTGAGATTGGTGGAAAATCGCTCACATACCACACATCTACATTGGATCAACTGACCTAGGAATTACAATAATGCAAGCAGCTCGTCTTGTTAAGAAAGGTGTGTTAACTTGAATTTATTATTTTGCTCTTAGCTTCTTCTACAAAACTTGAGAGATAAGTGCAGTTGCATGTAAATTCTAAAACTGATTACCACTTTACTAGGCACCATGTATTTCTTCTCTTTTGTACAGAAATAATCTAGGATACTTCATGAATATCAGATCAAGTTATTTATACATCAAGCAAATTAATTAATTCATGTATTAGAGGGTTGTAACTTATATGATCTGGATTTTGTGGAAAATGAAATAAATATTTATCTAAACATGTCTATTATAATGAATCTCTTCTTAACAAATTCTGTTTGAGAACCATTAAATGGTCCTCCAACTAATAGATCCCCGTATATATATATCATAGTGCCATGATATCAAGTTCATTTTCATTATGGTGCATCCAATTGCTTTGTATATCAAGTTGTTTTGTGATTACTCTGTAATTGACCCTGACCTTTGCCACTGCAGCTGCAGACATTTGCAGTGGAGAGATGAGAAAAAAATCATTTACATACGTTATGGTTCTGGTTCGATTTTTACTTTTTTTTCCTTGTGGAAGAACTTTTTCCTCATCTGCAGCCAAGCTTCTATTGCTGGTCACGATTGCTCTTTGGGTAGGGCATTTTACCATCAAACTTTTAACTACAAAAGTGTGGGCGTAAGATCTTTTCTTTTCATAGTTTAATCAATCTTCCAACAATCAGCCACTTTAGCATTTTTATATGATTTTATCAGAGATGCAAGCTTTTGCCTTCACTGACGTCTTGGCTTTAATCAGTTTACGTGGTTATGTCGTCAAGCTGATACGCTTGGAAGATTTTTCAGCTCTACCGAATATATGATATTTCTTCTCTACAGATTTGGTCTCAAATTTCCTAGCTACCTTTGTCTATTTTTCAGATCGTAGAACCTCTAACAAAAAAACAATTGCAAGAATAGCATTTTTTTGGAACGAGGGGGTTTGGAATTTAAGAACATTGGCCAAGGGATGACTGGAATAACTTCATCAAGGTATGTTTTGACTCTGATTCTTCGGCCTTGCATGTTACTTAGAGTTTTGCTCTCATGTCCCACATAAATTTTGGCATTATGGTTTATTTTACGTAGTATACTAATTTTTATATAAAGATCCTCCGGGATCATAATTAATACGATTACTGGTTATTTTTATTTTTTTTTCATATGAGCTTGATCATGCAATTTATCTGTTCATGTGGGGATATTAGGTAAGGCTTGATCAACAAGTATATGTAAATCTTGTCTTTCTTCAATTAATTAACTATTAAAGAATTTTAATCATAATAGTTGAACTTAAAGATATCATATGAAACCGTAGTTAATTTAGTTTACCTTAATTTGTATATGATCCGAAATCCTGCTCATCACCACCAGCTCCCATTTCCTATTTGCCATAGCCTGTCTATATTATTCGATCAGTTCACTTTTCCTGCACTAGTGTTAAATGCACCCATTATTGCCGAACCTCTTAATTTACCACAAACAGTATGAACTCCAGGATGCATATGTTCTCATGTTCAATATATCCACCTATTAATATGATTACTAGTTAATTTTATCAGAGATCAACCTTTTGAAATTGTAGGGCTGAAGTTATGTTGTTATAAGTCTATTAGTTGTTCACTTGGCTATATTGGGGGGCAAAGCTAGGGACTCAATATCAACATGATAGGAACATCAAAACCGTTCCAGGTATTAAAAATTATTTGACTGGGTTTTGCCTGGTAGCCCTAAAATTTGCATCAGCACTCAAGTTGATGTCTGATACCCGATTGTATTTCATGTATCACTGTCTGCGGATTATGTTAATTGGTTTTCTATATTTCTTTTTGTATTGATGAATGGGCATTTTTGTGTGTTATTGCACTGAAAGCCCATATGCAATAAATTGCTCAAATTTTAAGTAACATACACTGAATTCACTAAAAGAGCTTGCTTTGTAGAGCATGTTTTAAGTTAGATTTTATCAGTTCCTCATTTTCGTTATGGTGCATTTCAATGGCATTGTATATCGAGTTCTTATGATGGTTGCTGTAATTGACCTGAACTCTATCGTTGCAGTTGCAGACATTTTACTGGTTTTTCTTTCTAGAAGAACTTTTCCCTCGTCTGTAGCCAACCTCTATTGTTGGTCTCAATTGCTCTTTTTGGATATGGGTTTTTACCATCAAACATGTAGTACAGAAGTCTGTGGCGTAAAATATTTTTCTTTTCCCTTTTTTTATCATTCTTCCAACAATCACCATTTTTCCACTCTTGTTGAAAGTTGTTATTTACTTTTGAAAATTCTTGAAGCAAGCATCTGATGCTCTACTTCTTCTTTTCTTAATTTGTTCAGGAATTTCTTAGTTTATGGTCCAAATTTGGAGTGCTTTGCTTTAAAATTTATTTATATGATTTTTATGGAGATGCAAGCTCTTGCCTTCACTATCCTCTTAGCTTTTGTCGGTTTATGTGATTTATTGTCAAGTTGATTGTTTGGAAGATTTTTCAGGTCTGCTGACCATTTGATATGCTTTCTCTACAGATTTGGTCTCAAAAGTTCCAAACATACCTTTGTCTAGTTTTGATATGATTCTCCGAATCATAATAAATACAATTACTATTATTATAAGTTATTTTCTCCCCTGTTTTCTTACAATTGTTGTAATAAATATTTGTATTTTGATGGGTGTGATGCAACTCAACATTATGTTTGCTTTCTCTCTTTTGCTCTATGCTCGATATTTACTTTGTCGAATTTTGGGCTTACACTGTTTCGAAATCGATTCAGGTGGTAATTGCACTTTATCTTCTCAAGTTGATTCTTTTGCAATTGTCCTTAACGCCATAATAGTCGTAGGTAGAAGTTTTAGTTTGGCTGTTCCGCCATGATTGAAATCTCGATATATTTTCATCAAATTGACCTTCTCTGGAAATTTTATGCAGCTCTGGTCTTCTCTTTCACCGCATTCTTTGTTTACAAGCAATATGAATCAGAACTAGATGGCCTACAAAGCCCTTCTTAATTGTAGAAAGAAATCAAAATCATTGTTGATAGCGCTGTCTACACTGCTGTCGCATCATTTCTTCGTAACTACAGGATATTGCATGAACCCAACGCCCATACAGTGGTAAAAGACTGACAATGACTCCACTGACTCGATATTTTTCTCGAGTGAGTTTTAAACTGCTTGTACATGATCTGTAGCTTAATTAGGCTTTGTCTCAAAACTGTAGAGATGATTTGTCTCCTAAAAAATAATATATATATATGGGATATATATTTATATATTGCAAATTCCAGTTGTCAAATGATGTTCATCTTTAATTGACCATTAGTATCCAAGTGTCTTTTTGTCTCTATACTCAAACCGTAGATCTCTTAATCTCATCTCATATGCTAGATGATAAGGATATGTGAACTCCAAATATTCCAATATCAGAAGTCATCTCATTTCAACTAAATAACAGAGTTCGTTTGTATCACTAATTTGAATTAATTTGATCCAACGGTATCCGTGGGATAAGAAGAATTTGCTTACTTATTCATTTATATGTTCTTGATGTGAAGTAAAAATTCAATGACTTAAACGATATATATATGGGAAATGACATAATACTACATATATGTTTCAACTTTTTCCTTTAAAAATAAAAAAATCAAGAATTTTTTATACATTATTCGAAGTCACAACTGCGAGTCATGCTGCCGGTCTAGGTTTCTCAAGTGTCCTGTAAGTCAATATTTTAGAAAGTCCTTGATGCAAAATGCAAAGTTCAGAGACCCACGCACTTTTCAGTACACAATTTTTTTATTAGAGTATGTATCAGCTTAATGATACATCAATGTCACTTACAAAGAAAAGTCAAGAAAGTGATTAATACGGTAATAATGTAAACTTGAATTTCTGATTTCACACATGCAAGAGATGACTTTTGACTTTCATGTATCTTAAGGGAGTTACTATATTGCTGAACGCATATCTTAAGGATTGATCACACTTTTCACAAAACAGCATATCTTTGGTGGCTGGTTGAAGGAATTTCTAGAGCTTGGAACAATCCTTCATTATTTGCAAATGGCAGATATATTTTATGCCCCTTATTGGGATGTTTTTCACAAATTTGCTTCTCACTTTTGAAAGAAATAGCTCTTAATGCGGGTTTGAGAGAGATAGACAAGCTTCGGCATTCATAAACATCATTCAGATAGTTCTCGAAGATCAGAAAAGCGACACGAAGGAGAAAGCAGTGAAACTATGTTGGGTGAGCTTAAAGAAGTTGCTTATGATGCTGACATTTACTTGATGAGTTCTGCTTGGTGCTCTAATGGCTAGGATTCCTTCAATCTCAACTTCCAACTGTTGCGTGGAGAAGATGCTTGTATTGGACGATGTGTGGAACGAAGATCACGATGAGTGGGATAAGCTAAGGATTTCGCTGAGTGATGGTGCAAGGAAGCAAAATCTCGTCACCCCAGTACAAAGTTGCATTGTTAGTGGGAACAACTTCCCCTTTTATATGAACCTTTATCACATGATGATTGCTGGTTATTGTTCAAGCAAGGGGCTTTTGCTCTGGAGAAGACTACCCTAATTTAGAGCAATTGGAAGGGAAATTGTTAAGAAGGTGGAGGAATTCCTTCGGCAGCAAAAGCACTAGGAAGTCTTATCGTTTCAAACGCGGAAGAGGAGTGGCTACATGTGCGAAAGTGATATTTGGAATGCATGTGAAGGTGAAAAGATCCTGCCTGCCTTGAGGTTGAGTTACAGCCATTGCCATCACATTTGAAATGTTGCTTCTCGTACTGCTCTGTATTTCCTAAAATTAGTAATCAAGAAGGATAATTTAATCCACCTTTTGATTGCAGAAGGCTTGATACAGTCTAAGAAGAAAGGAAAACTCTTGAGGACATTGGCAACGACTACTTCAAAGACTTCATTTGGATGTTTTTATTCCAAGATGTGAATAAAGATCGTGATGGTAATGTAACAGAATGCAAAATGCAACCTTATTCATGATCTTGCACCTGTTGCTGAGAATGAATCTGTCTTACTGGTACTGGTCTGTGTCAAACACCTGGCAAGAACTCGTCATTCGTCTGTTGTGTGTAATACTGAGTTGCGTACTATTCCAGAATCCTTGTATGAAGCAAAGAAGCTACGGACCCTTAATCTACTGTTTTCCAAAGGTGATCTTGGAGAAGCCCCTCCCAAAGTGTTTCCAAGTTCAGATATCTGCGTGCCTTAAATTTGTGTGGTAGTGGCATCAAAAAGCTGCCCAGTTCAATTGCCGGCTTGATATCTTTGAGGTATCTCAACATCAATCCCCTCATAGAGACTTACCTGGAAGTGTTTGTGAACTTAGTAACCTGCGGTGTTTGAACCTCTCCTTGCCGTGATCTAATTGAACTACCTAGAAGATTAGCAAAGATTTCAAACTAAGGCAATTGATGATAGATGGCTGTGATAGACTGTCTCACTTGCCAGATAATATTGGACTATTATTGGAGCTTCAACATTGCCAATATTCATTGTAGGCACTAAATCACCAAAGTCTCGGCCAGCTGTACCGCCTAGCGCTTGGGCGCGCTAAACATTCGACAGTTGGAAAATGCACTATCTGAAAGTAATCGAACAGATGCAAACTTGAGAACAGGCCAAAGCTTAGATCAATAGGTTTCTCATGGGTCTAATCATGATGATCAATGATGAGAAATGAAGACAATACCAGACTAGAGGCTGAGGGATTGCTCAAGTGCCTTCAGCCACATCGAAATCTGAAGACGCTTACAATTGAAGCGGATCTAGAGCTAAGAATTACAATTGCAAGCAGCTCCTCTTGTTAGAAAGTGTGTTAACGTATTTATTATTTGCTTTTAGCTTCTGCTACGGAAACTTGAGATGTAAGTGCAATTGCATGTAATTCTAGACTGATTACCACTATAGTAGGCACCAGTTATTTCTTCTCTTTTGTATAAAAATAATCTAATATACTTCATGAACATCAGATCAAGTTATTATGCATCAAGCAAATTAATTAATTCATGTATAAAGGGTTGTAACTTATATATGAATCTGGATTTTGTAGAAATGAATAAAATGATTATCTTAACATTGTCTATTATAATGAGCCTGTTCTTACAATTCTGTTTGGAACTATTAAAGTGTCCTCCAACTAATAAATATCCATGTCATTTTGTTATGTGCATCTCAATTGCTTTGTATATCAATTCATTGGTCTTTCCTAATTGAATCAGAAGTTGTTGGAAGGGTCAAGATAAGAAGTTAAATAGGGCAAGTATTCTCAAATGGAGGAAGTGGGGTCAATGGAAAAATTTCGGTTATCCCTATAGTTGGATTAGGGTTTGGGAAAAACCAGACTAGCTCAATTTGCTTATAATAATGAGAGGGTGACAGAGATTTTGATCACTGGATAACTTACATGAAACATTATAATATTATTATAGATTTAAAGAGTTAAGGATATCACATCACTGTTTTGAGGTTTAGTATAACTATATAATTTTTCTTATGATTTTGAAATAATAAAATTTCTTTAGTTGTTAATAAACTATTAGTCTTTTGCTCGAACATATATCTATAAATTAATAAGTATTTTAATTGTTCTCGTTATATTATTTTAACATTTACGATTTAACAAAAATATTTTATTACTTCATAAATTAGATTATTTTATATATCAAACACAAGATCGTCAATATGATTCTTTATATAATATAAATTAGTAATATAATGAACTATACATAATATTATTTAATAATACAAATATTTCACAGAACTAGATGGCCTAGCAAAAGCTCCTTAATTGTAGAAAGAAACAAAAACATTGTTGAAATGCTATCTACCAACTCCCGTCGCATCATTTCTTCGTACTTAGGATATTGCATGAACCCACACCCATACATTGCGATTGGCAATGATTCCATGACTCGATGTTTTCCTCGACTGAGTTTAAACTGCCTGTACAGATGTTAGCTTAATTAGGCTTTGTCTCAAATTGTTCATCTTTTAATTGACCATTAGATATTAAATTTCTTTAATAGTCTCGATTACTCAAATGTTGAATCTCATCTCATCAACTTAGCCAAAAGTCTGAAGCAGAAGAGATTCAAGGTATCTTTTCATTGACCATAGATATTTTGTACGGAATTTAATGTTGTCAATTATTGAGAAGATGATCAAGGATATGTGAACTCCAAATATTCAATACATATTCGAATCAAATTTGATACAACGTTTTTGATAAAAAAAATATAAATAACGTGCTTTTGGTATTTGCTTCGATGTAGCCATAGGCAATTCCATGGGCTCTAGCAAGGCCATGTTCATGCATTGTTGGCCATATGGGCAATCCCATGGGTTCTAACAAGGTCAAACCTTAACAATGAGATTAAACTAAAAGTAAATGAAGAATCTTTGTATAATATCAACATAATTCGAAAACTTGCTTGCATTCTAAAGGTACTGGATGATAAAATATTTAATATACTTTTACCGCCACTCCTTTATCACACTGTTAAGAATGTTTATATAATTGATTGGTTCCTATAACTTATTACTGTCATCCAATTTGTTTATAATATAGCTATATGTTATAAAAAAAACATTTGAAATGCTTATGCAAATTATAATTGTTCACCATCTGTTATCCAATTCTTGTAAATGGATACCATTGTTTCGAAATTTTGTAATATTCAGGGTCATAACAGAGACTACAATGCTATGGAAACACATTTATAATAAAAATATTTACTAATAAAATAATGTGAAACATTATAATAGTATCATATAATTAAAAACATCGAATCAACTATTAAAGGTTTACTATAATATATAAATTCTCTTAAGATTTTGTAAATAATAAAATTCTCTTTATTATTATAAACTATTATTCACTTCTTAAACATAATTTATATATTAACCTTTATATTCTCGTATATTATTTTAACTTTACAATTTAATAGTAAGGAGTTTTATTATTCCACAAATTAGATTATTTTTTATTATACAACTTCAAACTGTCAATATAACTCTTTTATATATATAAATTAGTGATCATAATGAATTATACATAATATTATTTAATAATATAGATATTTCAACTACCATAATTAGCTGATAATCTCATAATCTATAAGAAAAAATTGTTCATATGACTTTTAAAAAGTAAACCAATATCTTTAATTTTTAATATATCACATTCATCTATATGAAATAAATTTTGATATATTTAAAATTTTAAGAACAAATAGAAAAAAAAAAAAAA